AGAAGTTGTGGGGGCTTCATCACTGGAGGTTTTTAAGACTGGTTTAGGGTTTCCTGCTTGAGCAGGGTGTTGGACTAGAGGACCTCCAAGGTCCCTTCCAGCTCTATTCTGATTATAGCCACACAATATACAAATAAAATAAAACTTGATATTCAGACTAAATTTTGTTACAGTCTCTAAAGAATTTCAGATTGTGGATGTAATGCAATTTGTCACTTTAGAGAAACAGTCTCAAAGGTGCTTTTTCAAAAGGCAACTGGACTTGGTTTTTTCCTTGAAGACGTTTTGCTTCTCGTCTAAGAAGCTTCTTCGCTTCTGACTGAATGGTGGAGGATGGAAGGATTTAAACCAGTCAGTCAGAACTGAAGAAGCATCTTGGATGAGTAGTGAAACATCTGCAAGGAAAAACAAAGTCTAGTTGCCTTTTAAGAAGATGAGAAATATAATAGTAATACAACCCTACTACACTGGTAAATATCTTTAGGCATAAGTGCTGCGGGAGTTGTGTGTTTAGCAGAATGATGGCATGGGGGGAAAACTAGCTTTGTGCCTAATTATTTTGGCATGCAATGCCCTATAGCGGCATCCTGAGGGGAGAAGTTGAAACGGTTTATGTCTAGGATGAGAGGTCTATAAATATCATATTGTCTCAGCCCTCTTTCTAGCTTGTGAAGCATACAGGTCCTCAATGGAAGGCAGACTGGTTACAATTGTTGTTGTTTTTTTGTAGTCCTAACAATCTGTTGTACCTGTCCTGTTTAGTTGCATATTTCACCTGATCCAGGAGATTTTTCATAGGTCTAGTAAGTGATCTATAAAATCCTTGGTGCAAGTTGGACAATGAAGCATCTGCAAGCAAACAACTCAGAGCTCAGAGAGTAATAAAGACTCCCCCCCCCTTCACCCCCAAGCTACCTATATCTTCTTTTATTGCAGTGATCTCTCAGGTTCTCTGACAATACAATAGCAGCATGAGAGAATTCAGAGAGCCAATGGCTGTGCCCAGAGGGAACAGTTTGGAGCCCAAGATTATATGCAGAAAACAAAGGAGTTTAAAAGGACTGGATAGAATCTACTGATCAATCATGCTTAGAAGAATTAAAAGGTTTTTTTTTTTAAACATCTAATGATACTGTGGCTTTGGAAGGAGGGAGAAAAGGGGTAGCACCATTAGCAAAATGCAAATGGTAACCTTCCTTCCCCCCCAAAAAACCTAAGGAGTGCCGTTCTCTCTTTGCAAAAAGAAAGATCCTTCTTACAAGTGGTAAAGGGAAAAGAATCCCTGCGGATTCGCCAGCCCTTACCAACTGATAGGGGGCGGTGCTCATCTTCGTTTCTCTTACAAATGGGAGATGAATCAAAATAATAATAATAATAATTTTAAAAAAAAGATTGGTGATTGCGAATGATGGGAAAAGCCTGCAAAAGCATTGCTTGCACAAGCAGAACGTTATCGCCAGTATCTCTCGCTCTCCCCCCGCCCCCCGTCTATTCTCTCTCGCGCGCGACCCTGTCGGGGCTTTTATGCATGCACTGGGCCTCTATGCACCCCAAAACCTGCACAACCTTGGGGCGCAGCCAAGGGGAAGCAAGGCAGCAATCCCAGAGAGGGACAAGCTAAATAAGACTACTGAGGAAAAGCCGCCCAAGGGCGACGGCGATACAAAGAAAGAAAGAAAAGGGCCAAAGGGGCAAATTCAAGGGGGATGCTTTTGAAAAAGATTGCAATTCCTGGCTGGGAGCCGCCAGGGGGCGCACTAACCGGAAGGTCTGCCCGCCACAGAGTACCAGGTCGAGGCGGAGTTCGGTGCGCGGGCAAGGCAGGGAGCGCCAGGGAGTCGCTCGAGGCAGCTGGATGGGCCGGGCGTTCATGTTGTACCTTCTGCTGTCGCTGTCCTTAGGGAGGAGGCAGGGAGGAGCGCGCAGCTCTCGCTGCACCAGTTTGGCGCAAAACCCGTACCTCCGTGTCCGTAAGATCACCATAGAGAACGGCCCCTGAATTTAGAGGAGGGGCCGCGCAGGGGTAGAGCGGGGCAACCGCTCTCCGCTCTAGGCTGCGAGAGGAGGTCTTTGTGGTCTGCTTGGGCGGAAGCCCGGGTCTTTGGGCACAGGGCGAATTCTTCCTGTCCGCGGGTTTAAGGCTTGATAGGCGTGAAAAGGGTCTCTTGTACGTTACAAGGCGGATGGGAAAGGAAGTGGCCCTTTCAGGGGAAAACGGAAATGGGTCTACCATTACCTGGGATGTCAAAATCAGGATAGCCAGTAGATGGTAGCACAATGTTCCTTGAACTGGATACTCTTTGCTATAATCGCAGTTTAAATATCTAGCAAGAGTTCCAGGCAGAAAACAATGCAAGCATCCTTTCTATTATCCTTTTTTTTCCTTGTCAGGCATGGGAGTTGGAAAGTTAGTCATGCCCGGATTAGGGGCATCGTTATTCTGAGGTTTTTTTAATTCTTGGCAGCCTTTTTTGTTCGTTTGGTTTAAAGTTATTTATATTGTTTTAGATAGGATAGATAGATAGATAGATAGATAGATAGATAGATAGATAGATAGAT